AGTCGAGAGTGGTGCAAGCATTGATAATTCTGGCTAAGATTGGAGGTAACTGTCCCTCTAGATCCCCTGTTTCTCACAATAGCATATGTTTTTGCTACTTCCTCCCACGCTTGGTCAAATGCCACCTCTTTCTGGGACTTTGCTGGCACAAAAATGGGAGAGACTAAGGGCTTGTCTACACTTAAAGCACTGCAGCAGCACAGCTGCATGAGTGTAGCTGCACTGCTGTAGCACTTAGGGCTTGGCTACCCTTGCGAGTTACAGCGCATTAAAGGAGCCCCAGGCGCACTAGCTCACTACCTGTCCACACTGGCAAGGCATGTAGAGTGCTCTGACTCCACGGCTAGAGCGCTCCTGGTACTCCACCTCGGCGAGTAGAATAACATTTGATGCGCCCCCGCTGGAGCGCCCCAGCGTCAGTGTGAACGAGGTGTTGTATTACTGCGCTCTGATCAGCCTCTGGAAATGTCCCATAATCCCCTTAAGTCAAGTGGCCACTCTTGTCATTGTTTTGGATATGCCCTTTGAAAGCTCCGTTTGACAGCCGGCATGCTTATCTGCTCCGAGACAAAGCAACCATTACTGTGGAATGCTGTGTGTGAGAGAGAGAGAGGCGGGGGTGGGAGGGCCTGCTGCTGTCTGAACTTACAAGACAGCATGCTGACATGCTCTCAGCCCCCCAAAAACCCACTCTCTCTCCCCCCACATACACACAACACACACACCCCCCATTTGAAAAGCATGTTGCAGCCACTTGCATGCTGGGATAGCTACCACAATGCACTGCTCTCTGTGGCCGTTGCAAGAGCTGCTAATGTGGCCACAACAATGTGCTGGCAGCTGGCAGTGTGGACAGACTACAGCACTTTCCCTACTGCGCTCTATGAAGGCTGGTTTAACTCAAAGCGCTCTACATCTGCAAGTGTAGCCATGCCCTTAGTGAAGACGCCACCTACGCTGATGGGAGGGTTTCTCCTGTCTGTATAGGTATTCCATTCCTGAGAGTTGGTTGCTATGTCGACAGGAGAAGCCCTCCCGTCAACATAGCACTGTCTACGCCAGGGGTTAGGTCAGTATAACTACATCGCTCAGGGGTGTGGATTTTCCCTATCCCTGAGCGGCGTACATATACCGACATAAGTTGCTGGTGTAGACCAAGTCTAATCAAGCTTCTTTTGAGGATGGGAGAATGCTACCTTGTTATGTTTAGAGTGGTGAATGTCCTCCCCTTAAATTTGTAGAAGTTGAACTGCAATGGAGATATGCCTAATAGACTATATATGCACTTAGGGGTTGATCTTGAGGGATGCTGAGCACCCATTGATTTAAATGAAACTTTCTCTTGGGGTCCAATTTAATAAGTATATTTATGGGTCAAAGCATGTGTCTTCTAAAATGGCATCTTTTTGAGCCATTGTGTATCTAAGCTTTTATATCAGATTTGTTCCTGCAAAAATCTAAACAAGGTTTTTCTAACAGCAAGCTTGACCTGGTGTCTGGGTCCTTTTTGATTGATTCATAATTACTAACGATGATTCTGGAACCAACTTAGTTGGCAATTTTATTGATGATGCAGAGTAGAATGTGGCTTGCTCCTCTTCAGCTACTACTCTCCAGTGCTTATGTCAGTAAATATTCATTTTGGTCAGTAAATAAAGCAAATATTACTTGGAAAATACAATAAATTTCAGATCCAGATATGTGAGTATCAAGTGCTTTTAAAAAAGTTTATTTTCTAAACACTGCCACACTTGGGTGTATTTTGTATTAAACAGGATTCCTACATTGGGTTTTGTAACCCATGATTAGCACTAGACAACAAAATACACTTCTGTTTTTATATATATGGAGTATGGCTCACCCTGATCATTTGCTGTGTCTGATGGAACTGAGAGAAATCAGGGATGTGACTACACCGGAAGGGGTCTCCTAGGCAGAGTAGCAGCCCTCTTAGTAGCCTATTGCCCTACAAAAGCAATTTGTCTTTTGTCTATGGTTACTGAGCCTTAACTAGTAAATTATTTCCAATTCTGGATCTTTGGTGATATGATAACCAGCTTTTTTCACTGAGCTTCTGTCCACAGAACTCGTTCTTTGTCCTACACAGTTATTAGTATTTCTCACGCAGAGCTAACACAAAACATTTGAGGGATGGAAATCTCTTTGCCACATATGGCAGGGCATCACACATCCTGTTGTTGGCCAGTCAATGTTATTAGCACTCACATGTCTACTGAATGCAGTGTTTTGGGGCTCTGTCACGTTTGCTGAGACTAAGTGATTTCAATTATTTACCCCCCCCTCCCCGGGGGTTGGGAGAATTAGGGGTATGTCATGATCTCTAGGCTACTTGTACTAAAGAGTAATTTCTCTCTTTTTCTTTTTTTTAAACTGATTGATGTTTGGCAAGTGTGACCTTGTTTAACTGGCCAGTCAATTTCATTGAGTGTCATACTAGTTGGACAAATGGCAGGAGATTGTCTGTCTGAGGCCGTAACGTATTTGCACAATGAATTGTTTCTTTTTGAGAGCAAGACTCCGACTTGGAACCATCCAGACCATCTCACTAAATGCTACTGGTTTAGTGATAGAAGGTTCCTTTATCCTCTTCTTTGGTCAAATTCTGCCCTAACTTTTATATGCTCTATTTGATCACATTGACCATAATGGTGCGATTGCACATGTATAAACTATTACCCCCGGGGGAATTCTGCGCCACTGTGCATGCGGAGAATTTATGTCCCCCACAGATTTCTTTGCTTCCCTGCAGAAAAATGACTTTCTGACGAGGAAGCAAAAGGAAACCACAAGAGTGGTCATGCGACCCTCCCCAGAAGTATGTTTCAGGTGCCCAGGGCAGCCACCAGAGAAGTAAATCACTGTAGGGCAGGAGGCGGGACTGGGGAAGACCCGGCTGGTGGCTCCTACTCTGCGCCGGGCTCAACTGCTAGTCCCGGCTGGGGTGGGGAGGACAGGACTTCCTCTTCCCCTGCATGGCTTCCAGGGCCAGGTCAGACCCACCCCCAGATTTCTCCTCCAGCTGCAGGAAGCTCTGCAAACTCTCTCCCCCCCCACCCCGATTCCTGCACCCATCACTCCTCAGCTGCAGGGGGAGGGATCCCTGTACAGGGAGCTGCTCCCCTATCTGCCCAACCCCTGTGCATCCAGACCCCCTCTATTACCTAGACCCTCCCACTGAGCCTCACCCCCCTTGACTCAGGAACCCCCCCCCCCATGAGCCCCACTCCCCTTGCACCTGGACCATCCCGACGAGCCATCCACATTCCACCAAGCCCCAACCAGCTGCACCTGGATCCCAACTCCACTGAGCCCCATTCCCCCAGCATCTGGACCCCCCACTGAGCTCCCCACCCCCAGACCCCTCATGCTGAACCCCAACCACCTTCACCTGGACCCCCCTTCAGAGTCCCATTACTGTTGCACCCAAAAAACCCCCAACAAGACCCTATGCATCCAGATTCCCCCCGCACCCAGATTGCCCCACACAGAACCCTCTCAACCCCCACCTGTATCCCCCCACATTAAGCCTCTCCACACTTGGATCCTGCTTTGCTGAGCCTGCCTGCCCACGTGGAGGGGTAGGGCCTGGGGTGTTTCTGGGGCAGGCCCAGTCCTTGCGCTGTGTCAGGGTTGGGTGCAGCCTCCCACTGAGCCCGTGTCCCAGGGCAGAGCTGCACAGTGATATTCCACCTCTGTGCAGTCAGTGGCCTGTGCTCCCCAGTGCCATGCTGGAGCCTCCACATTTGACAAATAAAATTTGCAGAATTTTAAAATGGGTGCAGAATTTGTATTTTGGCGCAGAATGCCCTCAGGAGTTAAACTATGTACTTCTGCTAATGCCGTAGGGGCCAGATTCTTTCCCGAGTCCTTACTCATGTTGAATAGTACTATGCATAGTCCCATAAATGTCAATTGGATTATGTGTGAAGTAAGGTAAAGGTACTACTACTCAGTGTGAATGAGGGGAGTGAACCTGGGCTTAAATACCTTATGGTGCTCTAATATTTCCAGTAACTTCATAATGTGACTTATTAAATGGGAATGGTCTACTTTCCCCCCCCCCCCCCACTTCACCTATATTATAAATAACACTAGGTTACTATGAAATTGAATTTCAAACATCCAATTTGTTATGTTTGCTTTCTGTATCTGGGCGTGGACAATGAAAAAACGAGTCAGTTCCTCAGTTTTACTTAATTTCTCAAATATTTGCATGATGTTTGAATTATAAACACTGCAGGGAATGGGATTTTTAACGTTTTTCCATTGAAATTTAAAAAAGCACACGTGGTGCAGCTAGTTAAATTGACATGATTTTTATTGGCTCCATTACTTTCCAGAGGGTTCTATATAGCAGCCATAAAAATTGATAAGTCAGATCCCTTTATTTTGCTGTAGCACAAAGCTATGAGTCACAGCAGAGGCAGTGGAGATGTCTACAGACTTTGGAAGACAGCACTATATATTGGCTTACGTTTGCTTGCTATGTGGAAGGCTGTCGTCATAACCACATGAGCTAGAGACTTCAATTTTTTAAAAGACAGTTTTGGTTCTGCAGAAATTGATATCATCGGGCCGCCCTCTCAACAAAGCTTCATAGAAAGCCTGAGTGAGCACATACATTTTTTTTTTCCAAACCCTGTGTGTAGTCTAATACTTTATTTTAAATTCTTCAAGTGGGCATAAAGTTCCATTTACCCCAGGTTTCCCAGCTCTATTAGCAACTTCCTAGAGTACTATATTTAACTCTGGAATCTTACTAATTAGTGAATCTAATCATCCTTTCTGCCTTGAGTGTTTCTGATGCACCCATCGTGGTGTCTAAGCTCTGAATATTTAGCTGTAATGTAGAGCTAACATTGTCCAAAGGAATGTCAACTGTCTGCTCCTCCATGCTTCATTTGCTTTTTCCTTTTTTCCTTTTCTTCTCTTTTTCTTTTTTTTCTCTTCATGCTTATCATTATCTGGCCTTGAGAAAGGATGTCGTCTCTTCACTGGGGGAAGGCCTTTGCGAAAAGGTGGGTTTTGCATTGTGTTCTGAAAGCTTAGACTCAATCAGATCTCCTGCAGTAAGGTGTTTAACAACTGGGAGGTCCTGTGCTCCTTCTCCTTAAATGTCTTCCTGGAGTCAGAATCCCCATGGAGTAAAGCTGTCTCTCTGGGTTGGAAATGGAGAAGTGGTTTCTAAGATAATCTTAAACTCTTGCACAGAGGTGGCTAAATTTAAAGATTAAGACTTTGGATTAGGGCATTGCATGTATCAAGACATGGAAAATTGGATAGATTTGTGATTAGGGTGCTGAACTGGAATTCAGGAGACACATTTTAATACTGGCTGTGCTACAGACTTCCTGTGTGATCTCTGGTTAGACAGTCTCTCTGTGCCTCAGTTTGCCATCTGTAGGACAATGCAGTTGTTCCTTAACTGACCATGATGCGAAGATAGTCATTTTATGACACTCTGCTGTGGTGAGTGTCATAGAAGAGCCTTACATTTTTAAAAATTGTTTCCACATGTTTAACACCCCAGTCATTTAATTTTTTAAAAAAAGTTAATTGCTAATATAACCCTAAATGGGGTTAAAATATTAATATTTTATTTGTGACTTTAAAAGTTATTAATTGGCCCCAGCCTGCCCTTCACTTCCTGGTTGAAGGCTGGGGCTGTTACAGAAGCCCTTACTAGATGAAAACCAGTGGGTAGAACTGCATGTGTTAGGTTGGGACTCTGCCTGTGAAAAAAACAAACTGCTTCTCTAAGGATAAGCCTGGGGGGAGGGGAGGGGCAGGGGTGTGCTGGTGGGTTAACAATGCATTGAAGCAGTTGGTCAGGAAAGCAGCTTGTGAGCTATGCTGCTTGCCAGGGGAAGTGGGTAACTCCATTAGCAGGATAGGAGATACTGTTATACTTCTCTTGCTTCTCAGCTTCCCCAAGCTTTCCTGGACAAGCAGTGACTTTTTGGATCAATTACCCTCTGCTCCTTTGGGAATGCTTTGGATAGGTGGTAGAGGAGGCTTCTTGTCCTTTTTTCCGACATGTGGAGACCCAGTGTAGCAGAAGGAACTTTGCCTGTTGGTCACCTTGTGCTGCCCTGATTACTTCTGCTACATGCATTGAAAGAAGAGTACATGCAAACGTCCTCTTCAACCATGGAGTGAAGGCTTGGGCTATTTTAAAAAAAAAATCATACACTCAAATTTAATACAAAAAGTGTATTTTCATAGGAACTCATATTGAGGATGTAGTAGCCATAAACGTTGACATTTTTTAAAAAGGTGATTTGATCGAAGTAGTAAGAATTATAACTTAACGGGTGGCTTTTGTCGCCATCAGAATTAATGAGCCTTCATCTACTCTTAATATGCTGCTGCATCATCCCGCTTTTAACAAAAAATTGCATCTTAATTTAGCAAGTTCATCGAAGTTACTGTGTGGAAAATTGCCCTAGCTGAGAAAATGAAAGCTAGTGTAAATCAGATACTTCAGGAAGATGGAATAGAGGAATAATTACCCTTTCATATGAGAGGGGGACTTATTTAATTGTTTAGCATTTTACAGCTCTGAAAGGGTGCATAGGAACAGAATTCTTTGATAATTGATATCCCTGCCTTTTGGCCTTTTGCATTATACCTGTACAGTGTCAGGCCCTCTGCTCTACCATCAGTTTCACAAGCAGAAGTAGATCTCATGCTGGAATTTATAAAAAAAAAAAATTATAGATGTCATTTTCTACTTCTGGGGGAATTCTTCGCCATTATGTCTGCGCAGAATTCATGTCCCCTGCAGATTTCTTTTCTTCCCTGCAGAAAAATGACTTTCTCACAGGGAAGCCGCAAGAGTGATCACCTGCCCCTCCCCAGCAGCATGGGCACGTCATTTCAGGTGCCCAGAGCAGCCTGCAGAGAGGTCAATCACTGAGGGGTTAGGTGGGGGCGGGGACTCTCCAGCCAGTGGCTCCTATTCTGCACCGGGCTCAGCTGCTAGTTCTGGCTGGGCTAGAGGCAGGAGAGGATGGGAGTTGCTCTTCCCCCTGCAAGGAGTGGCTGGGTCTGGGTCAGACCCACCTCCAGAAACCTCCTCCAGCTGCAGGAAGCGCCGTACCCTCCCCGCTTCCTGCCCCCATTGTTCTTCAGCCACGGTAGGGAGTGGTCACTGTATGGGGAGCTGCTCCCCCATCTGCCCAACCCCCGTGCATCTGGATCTCTCCCCCCCCCCCATACACAGACTCCCTCCACCGAGCCTCACCCTCTGCACCCAGAATCCTTCCACCAAGTCCCCTGCTTTTGAACCTTTGCCCCACTGATCCTCACCCCCTGCACTCGGAGGGCCCCTGATGCCACTTCCTCCCATTGAGCCTTACCCCCTCTGCATCCGGACCACTGCACCCAGACCAGCCCCCACTGAGCCCCCTGCACTCAAACCCCCACCCTGATGAGCCCCGCCCCCTCCCGCACCTGGACCACCCAGACCCCAACCCACTGAGTCCCAACTAGCTGCACCCAGACCCCCACTCCATCAAGCCCCACTCCCCTAACACCACTGAGCCCCCACATCCAGAGCCCCCTGCTGAGCCCCATCCCCCCCAGACCCTTCCTCTGAGCCATATCCACCTTAACCTGGACCCTCTGCAGAGTTCCATAGCCCCTTCACCTGGAACCCCCCAACGAGCCCTTGTGCATCCTGATCCCCCCTGCGTCCGGACCCCCACTGAGCCACCTGCACTCAGATTGCCCCACACAGAACCCTCTCAACCCACACCGGGTCCCCCGACACTAAGCCCCTCCACACTTAGATCTTGCTGGGCTGAGCCTGCCTGCCCACACCTGGTGTGCCTGCCGCAGAGGGGCAGGGCCCTGGGGTGTTTATGGAGCAGACCTGGCCCTTGCACTGTATCCAGATTGGGTGCAGCCTAACCGTTGAGTCAGTGTCCTGGGAGCGGGGAAGCTGCAGAGTGATCTCCCACTTCTGTGCAGCCAGTGGCCTGTGCTCCCTGCTGCTATGCTGGAGCCTCCATATTTATTTATTGACCAATAAAAATTGTAGAATTTTAAAATATTGTGTGCAGAATTTTTAATTTTTTTTGGTGCAGAATTCCCTCAGGAGTAAGTTTCCTAACTCAGTGTTGCATCCAACCCAGGGGAATTCAATATTAGGCCTGATCTTGACCGCGAGAGAGAAGAATTGATCACTTGCACTTAAGCAACCACTAATTTTAGTTCTGTGATTGATTTGATTGCATTTTTTATGTGCAAACAGAGTAATTCCAAACCAGTAATGTCAATATATTTGGTGCTGCAAATGGGTCAGTTTCACAAAGCTGAAAACAGTTGAGCCAAATCAGTTGAGTGGAGAGAATATAAACAGAAAATGGAGAATGGTAATTGGGAACTGTATAAGAACATTTTACTAGATGTCCAAAAAGCACCATTGAGAGAGGATACACAGGTTAAAAAAACAGCTTGTCTTAGAGGGGAAGTGAAAGCAGGTATAAAAAAGTGGAAATTGATATATCGATAGATAGATATAGCTAAATGGGGAGAGTGAAAGCAGTGAATATAAGCTAGGAATTGCAGAAAATTGGTAAGGGAAGCAAAAGGACATCTGACATGCAGAATTAAGGACAATAAAGAGATTCTTAAATATATTCAGAGCAAAAGGAATCCTAACAATCGTTTTGGTTCTTTACTAGATGAATGGTAGAATTCTCAATAATAATGCAGAAAAGGTAGCAGTGTTCTATAAGTATTTCTGTTCTGTATTTGAGAAAAAGCCAGATGATGTATTCATGTCATATGATGATAAAACACTTTTCTATGCCAACAATAACTTCCTTCTTAAAATTAAAAAAATTTGTTATTAAAATTTAATGGAGATATCCTATCTCCTAGAACTGGAAGGGACTTTGAAAGGTCATCGAGTCCAGCCCCCTGCCTTCACTAGCAGGACCAAGTACTGATTTTGCCCCAGATCCCTAAATGGCCCCCTCAAGGATTGAACTCTCAACCCTGGGTTTAGCAGGCCAGTGCTCAAACCACTGAGCTATCCCTCCCCTCATTTTTCTTAATTATATAATTTTCTTAATTATATAGCAGCCACTAAAGTTAGATCTTTTAAAAGCAGCAGCTGTAGACAACTTGCATCCAAGAGTTTTGAAAATGTTGGCTGCTGAGTTTACTGGACCATTACTGTTGGTTTTCAGTAAGTCTTGGAACACTGGCTTTCTTTCTGTCCTCTGGAACAACCCAGGTAATTATAGGCCTGAATTGGGCCCAAGCAAAATGATGGACTATCTCAGATAGGACTCAATTACTGAAGAATTGAAGGACAGTAACATGTAATGCCTGTCAGCAGAGGGTTATGAAAAATAGAACTTAGAAGAGATTACAGGTTGGTTAATGTGATATAGTTAGATGTCTGTATAAGGCATTTGACTTGGAAATTCATGACAAGATTAAGAAACTGGAAGGATTCAAAATCAACATTGCATACATTAAATAGATTACATTTTGAGACCTGTTATTAAACAAGTTTTTAATTTTAAAGAGGGAATCATTATTGAGCACATGTATTTATAATGGTACCCCACAAGTATCAGTTCTTTGGCCCTACATTATTTAATGTTTTTATCAATGAGCTGAAAGAAGATGTAAAATCATTACCAATAAAGTTTGTAGATATTGCAAAGATTGGGAGAGTGGTAAATAATGAAGAGGAAAGGTCACTGATACGGAGCAATCTAGAATGCTTGGTAAACTGGGCTCAGGCTAACAATATGCGTTTCAATACGGCCAAATGTAAGATCATTCACCTCGTCCTGCATTTTTTGTTCTTTATTTACAGGATGGGCAACACTATTCTCCAGAAACAGGGACTCTAAAAAAGATGTGGGGCGTCTTTATGGCTAATCAGCAGAACATAAGCTGCGCCCAGTGTGATGCAATGGCCAAAAGGGCTAATGCAATTCTTGCATGTATAAAAAGGGTTATTGAGTAGTCGTATGGAAGTTCTATTACCTCTATATTTGTCACTGGTGGAATATTGTGTCCAGTTCTGGTGTTCACAATGAAGAAAGATGTTGATAAATTGGAGAGGGTATAAAAAGATCCAATAGTTGGAAGTTGAGGCTAGACAAATTGAGACGAGAAATAAAGCACAGGTTTTTAACAGTGAATGTAATTAACCATTGGAACAACTTACCATGGGTTGTAATGGATTGTCCATCACTGGAGATTTTAAAATCAAGATTGAATGTTTTTCTAAAAGATATACTCTAGTTCAACCACTGGTTTTGGACTTGAAGTATGAGTTAATTCAGAGTAGGGTTATGGCGTGTGTTATGTAGATCAGACTAAATGATCACAGTGATCCCTTCTGTCCTTAAAATCTATGAAAGGAGCTAAGCATTATGTGTTGCAACTGACACTTGTGCATTTGCAGCCCTGTCACTCCTGCAGTCCATTTGTGATCTCGTGCATGTAGCTGAGCTTGGAGCGAAATAGAATTCTGCTGGAGTGATTCTTCCAGTTCAGTGAGGATTGCTGGGGCACTGGGTTTTAGGCTGCCCCCAGCTAGAAGAGTAGTAGAAGCTGCAAGCAGAGTGAGGAATTGAAAGAAGAGGTGACTGGCTGGGAGCCACATTGGAGGTTGAGATGGGCAGCACCAATAGGGAAATGACAGCAGAGGGACACAAGCTAGGCGGCAAGAACTTGTGGTTGGGGACTGTGTTTAGATACTCGAGTGTGAAAGGTGTGTATGGTTTACGTCCTGTGGGTTGGGGTGGACTGTATAGAGGATACATAAAAATATTGGGTAAATGGAGAGTAGGAAAAACAGGGTGGATACAAATTGATTTTTAAAGGGTTTTTTAATTTAAATACATTTTTATTTAAAAATTACACTTAATATTAAATCTGAAATATGGCAACCTATGTTAAAGCCTAAATTGTCTACAATCAATCATTAAAATTAAACGTAAAAAAAATTCCAAGCAGAATATATTTGCTGCCAAAATTTTAAACACAGTCAGACCCCTGAACTGGTGGAAGTTAGTGGTTAAGCACCTGGATCCAGAGTTTGTTCAAGTGCTAAACCAGCTTTTGATAGCAGTAGCCCTGCTTTTGTAGGTGCAAAGAGAATATTTTGTTCTTCTCAGTTTATTCTACTAGTTCAGTTCAAGGACTAGTCCATCAAAGTTGAGAAAGCTTTGTTTTCTTCTTTGAATCCATAAATCAAAACGAGGCATAAAAAAATGAAATCTATTAGTTCTAAAATCCTGAAGAACATGGTGACCGGAAACAGTTCAATTAACTACAGATAATAGTTCCTTTTGTTTAATAAATCAATTTTAATGAGAAACATGTTTTGATAAACTTTTTTTTCTTATGCATTCAGCATATTAAAGGTAGTTTTATTTAAGTGATAATTCTGAAATGCTGTTTTTGTGCATGTTTAATTGCATTCCAATTTCCATTCAAATGCTACTCAACACAAATCATGTGTAATATATATATATATATATATTACACATTTGTTGTGTGTGTGTGTGTTTATATACACACACACACACCATTTACATTTTCTAACAATTTAAAAATTAAGACTGAATGTATGTTAATCTATATAATTGCTTAAATGTATATAGATATAGTATACCCTCTTAGCCAAAAGTAGTACTGAATTTAGTGTAAAGACTATATTTAGTTACAAATCAACATGTATGTATTGTAACCTGGTTTTAGGAAAATAACTAAAAAAAGTACAAATGCAAAATAATATTAAAATTGATTATTTATGTCAAGGTTTCCTCCTTGCTGATTTAAATAATTATTGAACTCAGTGATTTAAAATAAATCCATCCTCAGGAAAAGGAATGAAGGAAGAACAAAAACAAGGAAGCCATAATAAGACTTTGTTTTATAGAGTTTCCTTTAAATCATATATGGAAAAGAGATGCGGGAAGATAAGCATGGAAAGAGGTTTCACCTCCTCACAAAATACCTCTTATGGACTTGTGTTGTCTGAATTAATTTGGTACATCAAGGGGTCCCATATTATTTTATGCATCCAAGTGAGACCACATGGTGGGAAAGAGGAGAGAATTGGGACCAAAACCCAGATTCGCTTCCACCCTACCCTGCTGTGGTAGACCCTCCCAGCAAAAGCTCACTGGTTTCAGTCTTATCTGAGAGATGTAATTCAGGGCACTCCTCTAAAGTTGGCAACTGTGCAAGAGGATGGAGGCAGTCAGTTCCCATGGCACTAAATTGAACCGACTGATTACTCAAATGCATTGAATCCTCCTTTCCCATATAGACTTATTAGATACATGCTAACACTAGTACTACTTCAGAATGAGCAGTTGGTCCAAAGGCCTTGAAACAAATACCAGCATGATAGGATTTGACAATTAAACCCAGATTATTAGTGGCTATTTTCCAGGATAATTGAAGTTCTCTTTCTAAAGTTTGTGGCTATACAAAAATGTATTTCTGTTGGCATTGCAGCATTTCTGTTCTAGCAAAGCTTTTTTTTAGCAGAAAATAGCTTGAAGGTTTTACATTCAGCTAACAGTTAACAAATGATATATATTGTTGGTTCCTTGCCATGAGAAAGTGCTACAGTACTGTACTAGTGAGTTCAGGATACAGATAATCAGAAAGTTTTAAAAAAAAAAAAAATGAACAAAAGGGTTTAAAAAAAATTCAACAGGAATAGTTTTCCATTTTTTTTTCAACTAGATCTTGTTTGGGGGCATTTTAAAAAACACTTTGAGGAGGCAGCAAACTCAGCCTGTGGAACAGTTTCTTCAGAGCAACCCCATCCTTCCTTATGTGACCCAGGGTGCCTAGGGTAGTCCCCACTGAAAATGCAAGGTCAGGGCAGGCTGCAAAAAAGAGAGCAGATTCTCCCAAACTGGAGATAAACACTGTTAGATTCACCGACCAATCACAAACTGTGCTCTTGGTCCCCCACACTGGTTATCAAGAAGCTGAAAAAAGAAATCACACAACCCCCTTTACTACATTCCAGTTCTCTAGCTCCTGATCAACACCTAGGTCCAGTAAAGTGAGAAGTTATTTATAACTCTGCTCACTATACAAAAGGTTCTTCTGAACACCAAAGGGCCTGCCACATTACCAGGTCAATGTTAGTTTGGATCTTACCCAAAATACCCTGCTGCCAGCCAATCCTTTAGTATCTAAAACTAAAGATTTATTAGAAAAGAAAAGAACAAGAAGAGAGTTGTTAAATTGTGAAAGCAGTCATATAGGCCCATAAGGAAAGAGAGTGTGTGTGGATCAGATATACTAGTGACACGCAAAATGTATAATTCTAGATTGCTGTAAAACAGAAATTTCTCCAGTTCAAGTTAATTACTCAGTGATATGTAACACTTCAGTACTTGTTTTTTGTAAATGATACCCTTGTTTTATTTAACACTTTTTATCTTACACATGTATTATATCTTTATCATAGCACACCTCTCATGGAGAAGGACGTCAAGAAGTTTCCTCTCGAACTGGGCGCTCTGGAGCTCGCTGTAGAAATTCTATAGCTTCCTGTGCAGATGAGCAACCTCATATTGGAAATTACAGACTTCTTAAAACGATTGGAAAGGGGAATTTTGCAAAAGTAAAGTTGGCTAGACACATCCTTACTGGCAGAGAGGTAAAATGCTTGTTAACTGTGTAAAGCATGCTCAATTGTGGTAGTTCTGAAAGCGCTCTTTAAATAGCGTTATGCGGAGTCCAAGAACAGCATGGCATTTTTTGTTAGAGAGAAATGGCTATGCATTTGCTGGAAAGTGAAATGTTAAAAACAAAAAATATAGAAAACTAAATTATTGGCTTTTAGTGATGTATACAAAATGCTGTTTATAAAAAAGAGCTTGTTTTATACTGGAACTTTAAGAAATGTTTGTTAGCAAGTTGTTGTCTTTGGCAATTCTTCAAGGTTGAGGATGATTCTTTCACAAGTTTTATTTTTTATGGTGACTGTGGAGTCCAATTGTTGCCACAGTCTGGTTGGCAGACGTTGCGGGTGGTGTTGAAAGTCAGGGTTGGGCCATGATTGCTGGGTGACAGTCGTCTGTTCTCTCTCCCCCCCCCCCCGGGGCATTTTTCTGTGACCATGGCAAGGCGATTTTCCTCAAAAGTGGACATTCCTTCTCTGACAAGTCTTCGCCGGTTATCCCTATGCTGGGCTGGTGTCCAAGCCACATCTCTTAATGTTTATCTTGAGGGTGTCTTAAGTGTTTCTTTTGGCCTCCCCGTTTCCTTTTTCCTTTGGTGAGTTGGGCATAGAGCAATTGTTTGGGTAAGTGTGTCAGTCATGCACACACAGTGCCTGCGCTACCTCAGCTGGTGCTGGATAATCAGGGCCTCAACACTGAAGATGTTGGCCTCTGTGAGGACACTTGACATTAGTGTGGCGATCCTCTCACCTTACGTAGAGGATCTTCCGAAGAAAGTGCTAGTGCTGGCGTTCCAGGTGTTTTCTATAGGACATCTAAGTCTCACAGCAGTAGAGGAGATTTGGGATTACCACCGCTTTACAAACTAAAAGCCCACGAAAGCTTATGCTCAAATAAATTTGTTAGTCTCTAAGGTGCCACAAGTACTCCTGTTCTTTTTTAAAAGTCTAATGTGTGTTCTGAAGTACCTGTTAAGTAAATGAATAGTATTGAAATTTGCTAGTAGAATTCCTTTGCATATGCAAACAAAGGCAGAATATATAGCACTTATAAGCTCTTTGAAGCAGGGAGTCTTTTTGTGTGTTTGCACAGTGTCTTGCACAATTGGGCCCTGACCCATAACTAGGTTTCTAGGTGCTACTGCAATACAGTTAATAAGTAATAATTTACATCTGACAGTTCCTTTCTGTGGAAATAAATTATATTCCTACTAGTAAATAGTTTATTTGCTACAGAAGGTGTTTCTTGTTGCTGTACCTTTGTTATCAATAGCTAGTTTCAGTCTACTGCAGGATAAAGATACAGTCTACTTTTCAGCACTTGTTGACTTAAATTGATGGGTTTGGCATGAACTTGGGCATTGTGAGGTTAAAGTGACCCTATTGGCCAAGATCTACAAGGAAAACCAAGTTGCTGAATGCAGTACTATTGGGGATTTAATAGGTGGCATTTCCACATCTGAGTCAATACAAAACCAATGGTACTGGAGGCAATGGAGGTGTCATCTCTAGAATGGGTGACCCACCCACCCACACCCACCACCTATCTCCAGAATAATGCTGGTGTCCCGACTAGCTTCCAATTTGGGTAATTACATTCTGACTACTTAATTTCACTTTGTATTAATAATAATCATTATTTTGTGTGCTAAGCTATTGTGTAGTATTGCAATTTGCTGTTAAAATGGTTTAGAGAATGTTAATACCATGGACCCCAAAGGTGGGATGTGACAAAGATCCAAAATGAAGGATGCCTTTTTCCCTTTGGTGTAAATCTTTGTTTAACCTCAGTTTTGTGATGTTACATTTCTGAAGAAAATAACTTTCAACAGTAAAAGTGAGGGACCATCATATTTGTGTGGAATTTACATAATTTGGGGACTAAAATAAATGACATCTCTCAAAATGAGGGACACTTAAGAGGTATGTTCTTGTAAGACTAGCGTATACAGTACTTTGAACTATTTTTGGAGGAAAGACAACATATAAATATGAGAATTCATCATTCTACTGCATGTATAATCATAGATGTCGTTTCTGAATATCATCCCCAAAGGTATTGCTCAGAGGTATTTTTGAGAGATATTGCAGCTATTTTTGTGGTCATGTACCAGCTATTTTGGTCAGTGATGTTTCTGAACTTTAAGAATAATCAGCATTATGTGCTGCTGGTTGTGCTGTGCCCTCTTGCTGTCAGTGATATATGCACTGAGAGAAATCCTAATTCCTAGTATGAGGGGTAAAAATGTTACTTTAAAAGCTAATTTACCTTTGAGTCATACCTCTTCCATAGAGTTTTAACGTTTATTGCCACAGTGAAAATACCTCTGTACACTTGAGTTCTGTATTTTAAAAAGCCCCCAACTCAAGAACTAAAGGGGAAAAAACTACTCATTCATGAAAAAAGTACATGCTGAAGTTAGTTACTAAAATGCTATAGAGACTTTTCAACTATTTCTATATTTTTTCCAACTGTTCAAGTACAACAGACCATAATCAACCATATTCTGAAGAGCTCAAAATAAAACTGAGGGTAAACGTATTTTCAAAAGCATCTAAGGGACTTAGATGATGTCAGCTCCCAAGTCCCATTTTTAGAAGTGACATAGGCACTTGTCATTTAAATGACATAGCGTTAACATTTTCAAAAGCACCTAGCAGGTCCCAGAGTGCAAATTCATTCCATCTTGATCAACATCCTACCAAGGAAAGAATCAGAATGATAAAGGTATCTGTCATCTGCTGTGAAGTGGAATAAAGCCCAGGCCTCTACTTAGTTCTCTCCTAATTGCAAAGAAATAGGCTAGGTTCAGAAGTTTCAAATTAGAAACTGGTTCCTTTCTGATGTATGAGAGAGCATGGCAGATATTCAAAAGTAATGGTATCGGATCTACAACACTCCTTCAACACTGATCACAATGTCTGGAATTCTTGCAAGTAGGCTTTGTATCATGGGTATCAAGAGTCTCCATTCTGAAGGGCTGGCTGATGTTTTGTCAACCATACTTAGTACAACAGGTTAGAAAAGGGTTTTATCTCTTCCCCAGGATGTCAACTGTATCTAGGTGTGGCAGAATTTGGTTTTTATCTTTTTCTGTAATTTTGATCATTAATATTGATTTTTATCTTTGTTTATTTTTAACTTTTAATTTTCACAGATGCGGGAAATTAAGGGGGCGTAGGATTAGGGTGATGGTGGTGACAGCAGGGTTGCAAAGGCCTTTCAGCTCAGCCAAAGGACCCGAGACACCCCCTGGGTGCAAGGTGTGGGGGAGGTTGCAGTCCTGGCCCAGCAGAGCAGAGACCCCCAATCAGGGTCACAAGGAGGAGGATGAGCCTCCAGCTGCAGGGGCGGCCACCCCGCTGCTGAATGGCTCCCGCCCAGGGATGGGCCCTGTACTCCTGTTCGTGAGTGAGCGAGGGGCTGTGACAGCGGGGCTACAGAGGGCGCTCTACACAGCTGCTGGGATGGTGACACTGGATCCCTGCAGACACTAAGTGTATGAGAGGCTGCACTTGCTGACTCTTACTGTTGGATTTTTGTTGTTGCTGTGTCTGGCTGGTGAAATGGATATTTACCGATGACTGGCCAATCAAATCCTGCCAGCTTACTGGTATCTGAGAGCTTTCTTTGGTGGCAGTAGTGCCAGTACTCCAAGGGAGGTGAGAGGTGGACTCAGTTTACAGGACCCAAATCCGTTGAGCCTTTATAGGTGGAATTAAATATCTTTAAATGCCACCCAGAAACTAATTGGAAGCTAGGTCATATCAGAGAACAAATTTAATAGGCTTCCTGCAGGAAGCACCACTTAATCAGACAACTGAATTTTGTGCCATTTCCAGGTGGTCTTGAGGTGCCAGCCCCATGTACAACATGTTAAAGTAATCCAGTCTACAGGTGACAAAGCCATGGATCACTGTGCCTCCTGTCTGTATCCAAAAAAGGTCTCAAGGTGTAAATAGCCTTTTTATCTAGGCAAGAGTAATTTGACTGATGTAGTGTGAAGACAAATATATGTCTTGATCACATGCAGGGTAATGAATCAAAGGAGAGAGACTTATTACTCTGTGTATTTGGAGGTTTGTTTTTTTTAAAGGGATGTTTTTCAAGATTTCATAATGGACTTTAGCCCCAGAAAATGGTAGTGAAACTGAACTTTGGTTTTTCACAGCATACTCTAGTGGAATGTACTACCCAATCCCCCCAAAGTTAAAATTCTTTTTTGTAGTCTACTGGTGACGGCTTACCACTGTTTTACGTCTAGAGAGAGGCTCAGAACAAACTTGAATCTGAACACTCATGAACTGTGGAAATATTGAAATGCTGATCTGGTTCTGAACTTCATAGTTCAGGCCTATGTCTGTATATAATGGCCTCTTTGATAGTGAAGGTGGTTCTTTAAGTGCTGGTCTCTGTGTATTTCACTATGGGCACTCATGCGCTCTGTGTACCTGAGACAGGAAGATTATTGCTAGCAGTGTCCTTTGGACCCTCAGCCTCATGCTCTGAACTTAGGATATAAGGGGCGGTGTGGACCGAGCACCTCTCCAGTTCCTTTCAACTTCCTATGGTCTGAGGGGGAACCCTTCAGTGTCCATAGCATTTGCTGCATCCTTCAGCACTTACCTGTAAATTTTGTAAATAGTTTTATTTTACAATAGATAGATAGAATAGATTTGGGCTTGGAGGTCTGTGATGGGGTGCTCTACCCACTGCAGGTATAGCGCCCCCTCCTGGTCTTTCTGGGAAATAGCTCACCAGGTTGACACCTCTCCCCACAGTTACAAGCCTTCCCTCCTCCTCTCTTTGTCTGCAGCCCCTCTTTTGCTCCAGGAGCTGCTGCGGCCTCTTCATGACTCACCCCTCTGGCTAGGTCACTGTCGTGGTTCCCCTTCCAATTGGGCGCTGGAGGGGGAAGGAAGTCTCTTCTCCCAGACTGGCTTAGGCAGTTTTCCTATGCACTGCCCGACCGGTGCTACTTCCCCAGTGACTGGTTGTGGAACCTGGGCCCACCCTCTTCTCTGGGTTCCTGCTCTGGGACCTCTAATCAGCAGTCAAGGTCTGTTCCACCCATACCTTGCTGCATTCCCCTGAGCCCTGTCCTAATCTTCTGGCTCTTCCTCCCTTCTCTGGGTCTGCCAGTTTCACTGCTCTGTCCTCCCAGGGAGCAATTGCAGCCTACATGTGTCTGCAGCTTCCAAACACTCCTCCCTCTTCCAAGGGATTGACTGCAGCTATACCCTTTATACTTTAATTTAAGGAGTACTGTTGCCTCTCTTCCTTATTCAGCCTTCCTGTTAAACTTTAATGGCTGTGAACTTAGATCAGTTTGATCCAGCCTTACCCACATACACCCATGTTGTATATCTACCCTCTCATAGTCACACTGTTTACTTTCAGTTGCTTAATTTATTCATGGTAACATGCATTTGTGCATTTCGTGCTTTGATAGCTCAGATATTTAAACATGTACCAGTATAAAGGTGGGCACTTCTGCTGTTGGACAATAATCTCCACTTGAGAACTGTAAAAGGTGTATAAATTGGCACAGTAGAAAAGGGTGTCTTGTTGGAATCCAGAATCTCTTTCACAATGGTGAAGTCTTAAGTGTATTTAAATAAATGAGATTCTTTGTCAGAAGCAGGAAGCCTGTAAAGAAGTCAGTGGGTTAAGGGTAGCAATTAGGAAAATAAGAACATTGCTGAGAAGCTAAATGATTTCTGCTCATTGATCTTTGCTGCAGAGGATATTGGTGAGATACCGGCCTTGGAACTGCTCTTTTCTGGCAATAAAGATGAGGAACTATCCAAGACTAAGGTGTCAGAAGAAGAGATGTTGGAACAAATTGATGATTTAAAAATTAGTAGCTCTCCAGGCTCAGATGGTACACATCCAAGAGTTCTGAAGAAGTCTAAGTATGAAGTGGCTGAGCAGCTAACAGAAATATGCAGTGTCTTCCTGAAATGGCTGCTTTTCCAGAGAGTTTGAGGGTAGCAAATGTTTTACCTATGTTTAAAATAAGGTCTTGAGAGTGATCTGGGGAATTAGACCAGTAAGCCATACTGTGACGGGTTGGATCACAGAAACCCCCTTGGGAGCTGCCACCTAATGTACCAAGACTACTTCTATTCCTGTCTTCCCTGCCAGCTCAGGACTCCAGCACCCTGTCTTGCTGAGCCAGACACCCCCGTCTGCTCCAACACAGACCCAGGGTCTGAATTACTTGCCCCACAGCTGCAGGTTTACCTGAAAACAGCTAACAGAAGTGTGCTTGTCTTTAGCACTCAGATGCCCAATTCCCAATGGGGTCTAAACCTAAATAAATCCGTTTTACCCTGTATCAAGCTTATACAGGGTAAACTCATAAATTGTTCGCCCTCTATAACACTGATAGAGATGCACAGTTGTTTGCTCCCCCAGGTATTAATACATACTTTGAGTTAATAAGTAAAAAGTGATTTTTATTAAATACAGAAAGTAGGATTTAAGTGGTTCCAGGTGGTAACAGACAGAACAAAGTAAGTCACCAAGCAAAATAAAATAAAATGTGCAAATCTGTGTCTAATCAAACTAAATACAGATAAGATCCTCACCAGTTCCAGAATGCTCCCTTTTACAGGCTAATCTCCTTTTAGCCTGGGTCCAGCAATCACTCACACCCTCTGTAGTTACTGTCCTTCGTTCCAGTTTCCTTCAAGTATCCTGGGGGGGGTGTGTGGAGAGGCTCCTTCGTTAGCCAGCTGAAGACAAAATGGAGGGGTCTCCCATGGGTTTAAATAAACTTTCTCTTGTGGGTGGAGACCCCCTCCTCACCCTGTGTAGAATTCAGTCACAAAATGGAGATTTGGAATCACATGGGCAAGTCACATGCCCATGCATGACTCAGGACTTGCAGGTAGTAGCCATTACCCACATGCTACCTTGAAGGTCCTCAGGTAGACTTCTTATGTGGATTGGAGTCTTCCAAGCTCTTTTGTCTGTTAAGTGCTCCCTGATTGGGCATCTAATTTGCACATTCCTTTCCCAAGAAGTGACCAAATGTTCTAACTAAGGCTACTTAGAAATCAAGCAATTATACAGCCAATGTTCATAACTTTGAACACACAAATGGTGCCTGCATACAACTAGGATGAACATAACCAGTAGATCATAACCTTTACATAGATATGTAGCAAAACCCTATTCCAGTTATATCATACATACATTTATAAGCACCCCCCCATAAAGCCTTATGGGGTACACTGTCACACATACATCTATTCCTGGCAAACTAGTTGAAATAGTAATTAAAAATAGAATAGTGAACACCTGGAAGATCATTGTATCTAAATCTAACCACTACTGTTTCTGCAGAGGACGACAGGCACACTAATCTATTACAGTTTGTCAAATGTGTCAGTAAAGTAGTGGATAAAGGAGATTAAGTTGACAATTTTAGACTGTCAAAAGGCATTTGAGAGGGTCCCTCACAAGAGATAGTTAAAGAAACTAAGTAGTCATGCAGCAAGAGGCAAAGTATTGTTATGGATCAAAAATTGATTAGGTGACGTGAAACAGAATAGCATTAAATGGACAGTTTTCATGGCAAAACAGTGGGGTGCCTCATGGTCCTGTACTAGGATCAGTGTTGAATATATTAAATTATTTGGAAAGGTAGTGAGCTTGAAGTAGCAAAATTTGCAGCTAACACAAAATTATTTGGTTAGTAAAGACCAGAGAGGACTGGTGAGGAATGAGGAACATGACGGCAAATGAAGTTGTGTTGTTAAATAGAAAATAATAAAGACTGGAGGAAAAATGTACACTATTCATACATAGGGCTCTACCAAATTCTTGGTCCATTTTAGTCTATTTCATGGCCATAGGATTTTAAAAATAATAAATTTAATTATTTCAGGTATTTAAATCTGAAATTTAACAGTGTTGTAATTGTAGTGGTCCTGACCCAAAAAGGAATTGTGTGTCTGTGGAGGGTTTTGTGGTACTATTACCCTTACTTCTGCACAGCTGCTGGCAGTGGCACTGCCTTCAGAGCTGGGCAGCTAGAGAGCAGCAGCTGCTGGCTGGGAGCTCAGCTCTGAAGGCGGAGACGCTCCCTGCAGCAGCGCAGTAAGGATGGCATAGTATGGTATTGCCACCCTTATTTCTGCACTGCTGCCTGCAGAGCTGGGCCCTCAGTCAGCAGCCGCCACTCTCTGGCCACTTAGCTCTGAAGGCAGCATCACAGAAGTAAGTGTGGCGTGGCACGGCATGGTATTGCAACCCTTATTTCTGCACTGCTGCTGGTGGGGCGCTGCCTTCAGAGCTGGATGCCCGGTGCACAGCTGTCCAGCTCTGAAGGCAGCGCAGAAGTAAGGGTGGCAATACTGCAACCCCCTAAAATGACCTTGTGACCCCCCCGCAACTCCCTTTTGGGTCAGGACCCCCAATTTGAGAAACTCTGGTCTCCCCCGTGAAATCTGTATAATGTAGGGTAAAAGCACACGAAAGATCAGATTTCTCGGGGGAAGACCAGATTTCACGGTCCGTGACGCATTTTTCATGGCCCTGAATTTGGTAGGACCCTATTCATACATCTTACAAGGTCCTAAATTTAACTTGGAGAAGGGACTGGTATCATTGTAGGTAGCTCAATGAAACGTCTGCTTATTGTGAGTTTTGTACACGTTTCTCTGGAGCATCTAGTACTGGCCATCATTGGAGAACAGGATACAAGACTAAATGGATTTTGGGTCTGATCTGATAATTTCTATAAATGGGCTCTTTTTAGTCATAAGAAGCTCTCTAACTTATTTTGTACCTCAGTTGAAACAGAGTGTCTCCCCTTCCTTACTCCCCTGCACACTCTTGATTTGGAGATCCTTTCATGTCTTCTAGTGTGTGGCAGCCTTGGCACTGAATTTTCACTTGATCAGTTTCTTCAACTCTTACGTTTCAGTTTTTAAGAATTAATTGGTTCAAAAATGTTTGTGCAATGTTTTCAGAGAAGATGGAAACCTGATAAAAGAATGAATGTTTAAATTTGTGCAGTGTAATTCATTTATTTGTTGTATATAAGATGCCATTTCTCTTCTTACCAAGAAGGGAATAACATTAATAGAATACTAACGCTGAGCACATACATCTTCAGTGAATGGCCAAAGGTCAATTTAACTGCTGTGAAGTTTGTATAGCAATACCTGTAATTTGCTATGAAACTTTTGCTTTTAAAACATTTTCACAGTTTGCCAGTATATAGGTGGTATTTTATAAGATTATAATCTAGAGGAAAATGACTTCCCTGCAATACAGTATTTAGAATTTAAGTTGCATTGCAATACATCTTACTTCCTACCGTTTGAACTTTCCTCTGCTGTAATACCATTAAGTGCTGTTTTTTGTCCAATACATCCAACAGAACTGAAGCCTACTTTTATTTTCTTTAGGAGTCATTTGTTCCAAATACTTTTATTCAGAATGTTTTATTAATAAAACTATATCTGTTTAATCTTCTTGATCTGATTTCATGCCTTGCATTTCTAAAACTAAACAATTGTAACCATGTTACAAGCTAATCAGATCTAAACTGGAAATATTGATCATAAACTTTTTTTCTTCTAGGTTGCAATAAAAATAATTGACAAAACACAATTGAACCCAACTAGTCTTCAAAAGGTAGGCTTCTTTGATTAACTGTTCTTATCTTTCAATTGTACTACAGCTTGTTTCCCTTTACCTCTTCCTTCTCCGATTCCTGAATTCACATGCTGTGGTCCCTGAAGCAACATCTACCTCACATTTCATATAAATACACAACTGAGCTACTGCATCTTAATGCTAACTTTCCTTGTAAAAGGCCTGTTTTGGACAGTTTTGCAGTCATGCAAGATGAGCACATCCTTCAAATAAAGAATGCATACAAAGCTACAAACAGAGACAATTACATGTCTTTTGCCAATCTTACTTTGTTACTCAAATGGCCTGAACTCTTAAGTAAACTGAAAAAGAGTACATCTGACTTCCTTTGGGTGTTTTTTTTTCTTCCACGTGTGGTCCAATTCAGTAAAAATGGCATCCATGAGCATCTGTTTTGTCTCAGTCACTTCAATAGTCACTTTGTTAAATTTACAACTACAAAGTTTCAGTCTGTGGGCTAAAAGTCAAACCGTGTCTATGCCTCATACATAATCACCAGCAAAAAAGATTCTACAAATTGAAATATAATTCTTTTGATGAGTGAAGTTGGAGGAGAGAAACCATGTTGGCTCATCTATGCTAGCAAGAATAAGTGATAAATGCTACTTTTGTCACTAAGTACACAGATACGACCTAGAGTTGTACACAGGGGGCACACCTGTTAGGCACTTTCCTGACTAAAGCACTGATAGCCAAAGGCTTTTTTGTATGTACTTTAATAAAAATGTATGGATTTACCCTATTTGGATAAGATGTAATATCAGGAATTTGTTTTATGTGAAATCAAGCTAAATACACTAGATGACATAGATACTTATTCAGATTTATACAAATAGTAAAAAGACCTTATGCATAGGTGCTCTTATCTAAATTAATGGCACACAAGCAAATAGGGAAAACACACAAGTTTTTGGGGACTAGATGGCTCAACAAATTAAGAGATGGAGTGTTTCATTTGTAAGTTATTTTGTTCAAATTGGCTCAGGTAAACTATGACTGAAAGTCATCATCTCATGGCTCTTTAGCCTCTGTGAAATAGTTTTATTCAATTTTAAGTAAAAAACAAAACACAACATCACAAAAACAACCACCACAGTCCACTTTTTTGGGAGCTTCAGTGGAAGTGGAGAAAAAATGCAAAAATGTATAAATATGCATTAAAACATTTGTGATGCAATTTGTAATTATATGTTTATATTGGCTTTATTCATATTTTGTATTTAATGCTATGAGTTTTACACTGAAGTTTTTAAATATTGTCATGAAAGTGTATGTCACTTTAAATAAGAGCGGTTACTGCATTGTTGGAAATCTACACATGAAAGTCAAATGATTTGTTAGTTACTCAGGCCTTGGCTACACTTGCGAGTTACAGCGCTGTAAAGGCTCCCCCAGCGTTGTAACTCACTCCCTGTCCACACTGGCAAGGCATTTGCAGCACTGTATCTCCGTGGTTGCAGCGCTGCATGTACTCCACCTCTCCGAGAGGAATAGCAAGTATTGCGCTGCAGCTCTGCGGCGCCAGTGTGGCCGCCCAATGCGCTGTGAATGGCCTCCAGAATTATTCGGCAGTATCCCACAATGCCTGTTCTAGCCACTCTGGTCATCAGTTCAAACTCTACTGCCCTGGCCTCAGGTAACCAACCATGTGACCGACCCTTTACATTCCCCGGGAATTTTAAAAATCTCTTTCCTGTTTGCTCAGCCCGGCGTGGCATGGAGTGCTATCAGCGAATCTTTCCAGGTGACCATGCCTCCACGCGCCAAGCGAGCCCCAGCATGGAGCAATGGCGAGTTGCTGGACCTCATCAGTGTTTGGGGGGAGGAAGCTGTACAGTCCCAGCTGCGCTCCAGCCATAGGAATTACGATACCTTCGGGAAGGTATCAAAGGACATGATGGAAAGGGGCCATGACCGGGACGCCCTGCAGTGCAGGATTAAAGTGAAGAAGCAGCGAAGTGCCTACCGCAAAGCCCGCGACGCAAACGTCCGCTCGGGTGCTCCCCCCGTGCCCTGCCGATTCTACAAAGAGCTGGATGCGATACTTGGGGTTAACCCCACCTCCACTCCGAGCACCACCATGGACACTTCAGAGCCGGTGTGGGGGGGGGGAGGAGGAAGAGGAGGAGGAGGAGGAAAACGGGAGTGATGGTGGTGGGCCGGATGGAGACACCCCGGAATCCCTGGAGCCATGCAGCCAGGAGCTCTTCTCGAGCCAGGAGGAAGGTAGCCAGTCGCAGCGGCCGGTACTTGGTGGAGGACAAACAGAAGAGCAGGTTCCCGGTAAGCAGTTTTTTTTTTTTTGGGGGGGGGGTTGGGATGTGCTCGGTGCGGGCTCTTTGGGAGAGGAGGGTTAGGCATGCATGCCTAGATGCGGAATAGTGCATTGATGTGGTTTATCACATCGCGGTAATTGGCCTCGGTAATCTCCTCGAATGTCTCATCCAGAACGTGTGCAATGCGCTTGCGCAGGTTTATCGGGAGAGCCACCGTGGTCCTTGTCCCAGCCAGGCTAACGTGTCCGCGCCACTGTACTGCAAGGGGCGGGGGGACCATTGCTGCACACAGGCAAGCTGCATATGGGCCAGGGCGGAAGCCGCATTGCAGTAGAAGACCCTCCCTTGCTTCCCAGGTCACCCTCAGCAGCGAGATATCGTCCAGGACCAACTCCTGTGGAAAATGTTGGGACAGTGTTCAGTGTAGGTGCCCCCTGAAGCTGTTGGCTCTCCCCAAGGCACAGAAACCCAGAGGACAGTGCAGCCCTGAAACAATCAGTCCCCCTTACTCACCATTTTGAGGCTCCCATGGGATGTGTGCTCTGTTTCGGACGGGAAAATTATGCTATTGTGTAGACCCTGTGTGTTTTCTACTCCTTAAGTGCGGGGGGAATCATTACTCTGTCTGGTATAAACAATGCTGCCTCTGTTAAATGTTGCATTTTGCCTATACAGCTGCATCAACCTTGAGACCTCAGCCGTCCCTCTTATCGCCTGCTCAGAGACTGCAAAGACTCAAGAAGAGACCGCGAAAAAGCAAAGAAGACATGCTGCAAGAAGTGATGCGGCAATCTATTAAAGAGAATGAGAAAGCACAGAACTGGAGGGAGAGAGAAAGCAGGATCTGCCAGGAAAACGCAGCGCACTGGCAGCAAAGCGCCGCGCACCGGCAGCAAAGCACTGATAGGCTCATAAGCATCCTGGAGCGCCAAGCAGATTCTATCCAGGAGCTGGTAGCCATGCAGAAAGAGGAGCAGTACCGCAAACACCACCCCCCTACAGTCCTTGTCCCAAAACTCTTTCCGTTGTGCCCCACTGTCACCTCCAACCCACTTTCCCCAACTTCCGTGTTCTTCACGCCACCCACTGCCTCCAACACCAGTATCTTCACCACCCAGCCCTGAAAACCACGACCCTTCCCCTCTGCACTCAACCCCCATCACCATGCAGTATAGCTGTCCTGAAGTGCAGCACTCACTGCACAGCATACCAGACAGGACATACGCGAATCTGTGATTGTACTGTTCCCCACTCCACCCCCTTGTTTCTTTTCAATGAATAAATTTTTTTTCTTTTCAATAAACGGATTCTTTGGCTTTGAAAACATTCTTTATTATTGCATAAAGTAAAAGACTCCTTAGCCCAGGAAATAAACAGGCACTGCAAGTCTGCTTGTCTGCTTAGCAGACACTGATTCCTAAAGATTGGAACTACTGCACTTCACTCCCGTGCAGGGCACCAGATATCACTGCTGGTTTTCAGCCTCAAATTGCTCCCTCAAGGCATCCCTAATCCTTGCAGCCCGCGCTGGGCCCCTGTAATAGCCCTGCTCTCTGGCTGTGCAAATTCAGCCTCCAGGTGTTGAACCTCGGAGGTCCATGCCTGAGTGAAGCTTTCACCCTTCCCTTCACAAATATTATGGAGGGCACAGCACGCGGATATAACCGCGGGGATGCTGTTTTCGGCCAAGTCCAGCTTCCCATACAGAGATCGCCAGCGGCCCTTTAAACGGCCAAAGGCACACTCCACAGTCATTCGGCACCGGCTCAGCCTGTAGTTGAACCGTTCCTTGCTGCTGTCAAGGCTCCCTGTGTAGGGTTTCATGAGCCACGGCATTAACGGGTAAGTGGGATCTCCAAGGATCACAATGGGCATTTCAACTTCCCCTACCGTGATCTTCTGCTCTGGGAAAAAAGTCCCGGCCTGCATCTTCCTGAACAGCCAAGTGTTCCGAAAGATGCGTGCGTCATGCACCTTTCCGGGCCAGCCTGTGTTAATGTCAATGAAACGCCCATGGTGATCCACAAGCGCCTGGAGAACCATAGAGAAATACCCCTTCCGATTAATGTACTCGGATCCTAGGTGGGGTGGTGCCAGAATAGGAATGTGCGTCCCCTCTATCGCCCCTCCACAGTTAGGGAACCCCATTTGTGCAAAGCCATCCACTATTTCCTGCACGTTACCCAGAGTCACAGTTCTTCTGAGTAGGATGCGATTAATGGCCTTGCAAACTTGCATCAACACGATTCCAGCGGTCGACTTTCCCACTCCAAACTGGTTTGCGACCGACCGGTAGCTGTCTGGAGTTGCCAGCTTCCTGATTGCAATAGCCACCCGCTTCTCCACTGGCAGAGCAGCTCTCAATCTCGTGTCCTTGCGCCACAGGGTGGGGGCAAGCTCCTCACACAGTCCCATGAAAGTGGCTTTTCTCATCCGAAAGTTCTGCAGCCACTGCTCGTCATCCCAGACTTCCATGACGATGTGATCCCACCACTTGGTGCTTGTTTCCCGAGCCCAAAAGCGGCGTTCCACGGTGCTGAGCATGTCCGTGAATGCCACAAACAATTTCGTGTCGTACTCCTCACCCTCACTCTCACTGTCACTTTGGATCTTAAGGAATAGTTCGACAGCCAAACGTGACGTGCTGGCGAGACTCGTCAGCATACACCTCAGCAGTTCGGACTCCATTTCCCGCAGACAGAT